AGATCTATTCTCTCTTGCTCCGGATTGCAAGACTGGATCTAATGGGTGGAAATTACAAGGGAGTAGATACCGGCTAAATATCAGGAGAAACTTCCTAACTGTAAGAGTGGTTGAGCAGTAGAACAGTCTGCCTCGGGAGGTGGTGGATGCTCCTTTGCTGGACATTTTCAAGCGGAGGCTGGACGACCATCTTTCGGGTATGTTTTAGGGCTATCTTTTGGCTGTGCTCCTGCAGAGTGCAGGGGGTTGGACTAGATGACCTGCAAGGTACCTTCCAACTCTAACATTCTAGGATTCTATGATTCTTTTTATTTATTTATCTAGTACCCTGCCTTTCTCCCCAGTGGGAACCCAAAGCAGCTTACATTGATCTTCTCTCCTCCAATTTATCCTCACAACAACCCTGTGAGGTTGGTCAGGCTGAGTGGGGGTGACTGGCCCAAGGTCGCCCTGCAAGCTTCCACAGCATGAGTGGGGATTTGAACCTGGGTCTTCTAGATCCCGGTCTGACACTCTAACCACTACACCATGCTGGCTCTGCAGATTTCGTAGGAGTCTGCAGTGGGAGAAGTTGGTCCTTTGCCTCCCCTCATTTTTTTCAGCTCAGTGACGACACACGCACACACACACACACACGAAATCACACACCCTGGTACCATGCAATGCTCCCTCTAAGCTGCGTCTTGTGAGCAAAAATCCTACTTTGCCAGCTATTGCCATTAAAGTCGTGAGCGAGCGATTTGGCTGCTGCCTACATTCGTTTGCTCCGGAGCCCTCCTTCCTGAGCGAAGACAAAGATGCGTGAGCCGGAGGCTAAAAGACTGTGAGCCAGCTCACACTAACTCAGCTTAGAGGGAACACTGGTAGCCATGTAACAATCAATCCAGAATCACAACCACTTCACATTAACAGGGATTAAAGTTGGCATTTTGACCCACGAAAGGGGGTTTCTTTCCCCTTAACCGTCCTGTTCGTGAAGCAACCATCCTGTTTGCCAGGCTGTTAAAGTGTGCCAGAGGAAAAAGAAATCTGGAGGACCGATTCGAGGCTCCCGCCCGGGGCCAGAACTGACTGACAATAATCAAGTTAAAACCCCAGACTGTGTGGAGGGCCATTTGAAACCGACAGATCCAGCCCAGCCCCAATATTGGAATGGAATGCCCCCCTGCCAGGGGGAGGGCTGTGGTGCCAGGGTAGCCCTCAGCCCCCCAGCGCCTCCCTTGTTCGAAAGGGTCCCACGCAGCGAAACATTCTTTGCAAGAAGATGCGTGGCTGGAGGAACCCAGGCGGAGGCCTGCCTGCAACAACAGACAAGTGTACGGAGGTCCCCACTGGGCAGGCCAAAGGCCCATCTCATCATGAGATTCTCCTGTCGCCTCTTGCTTCCCCCGGGGGCTGACCAGAGGATCCCAGGAAGTCCACACGGGTGGGAGGATACAGGCCCCAGCAGGTGCTCAACAGCATCTGGTATTCAGCAGCAGGCTGCCCCTCAGGCTGGAGGTTCCTCTCAGATATCATGCTGGGGTGCTCTTTTGTTGGTATTTTTGCATTGTGTGTGTGTGTCTGCCTGTGCCTGACTCCTACTGGGGCGTGGAGGACGTTCAGAGAAGTGGCTTGATAGCCTGCCCCTGCCTCCCGGCCCTGGTATTCCTTGGAGGTCTCCCATCCAAGTATTTGCCAGGGTCGGCCCTGCTTCGCTTCCGAGATCAGGCTTGCCGGGGCTATCCCGGTCAGGGCCTGCTTGAGTGCTCTTGATGGGCTGATCCTCTCAGACTCCTTTCAAAGCTGTCTAATCCTCTGGCTGTTGCCAGTCCCCATGACAGCACATTTCATTATTCTGCATTCCAGATCCTTTCTTTTGTCCGTCCTGAATCTGCTACCACCACCCGGAATCTGAGGGTTCTGGTGGAGAGAGAAAGCCTCTCTGCCAACTCTCTCCACACCATGCACGATGTCATGAAACTCTGTCATGCTTCCTCCCATTTTCAGTCATCTTTTAAAAACTCTAAAAACAAAACAAAACCCCTTCACCTTTCCAGGCATTTCAGTATTGTTTGACCAAATTACTCTAACCACTACACCAAAATGAGCCAGTTTGATGTAGTGGTTAAGTGCGTGGACTCTAATCTGAGAGAACCGGGTTTGGTTCCCCATTCCTCCACCTGCAGCTGCTGGTGTGACCTTGGGCCAGTTACAAGTTATTTTAGAGTTGTCCTTGAAAAAGAGCAGTTTGTGTCAGAGCTCTCTCAGCCCCACCTACATCCCAGGGTGCCTGTTGTGGGGAGGGGGAGGGAAAGGAGTTTGTAAGCCGCTCTGAGACTCCTTTGGGTAGTGAAGGGCGGGGTATGCTTCAGGTACAGGAGGCCCTCCGATCACTGAATCCTTCCGACCTCCTCCAACTCTACCCTACCCTTTAAAGAGCCCTGGATCTCATCTTGATCAAACCTCCATCCTATGTGCCCTTTTCAATGCCTGGACTCACTTTTAAAAACAATGCTGAAATTTTAAAGAAAGATTTCCCTTGAGCATGGGAAGAGCACCTTTCCTCGACTCCTGGCCAATGATCCCTCTAAGCTGTAGAGTCTTGTGAGCAAAAACTCTGCTTAGTCAGCTACTGGCATTAAAGTATTGAGACAGCGATTTGGCTGCTGCATAAATTAGTTTGCTCTGAAGCCGTCCTTCCTGAGCTAAGACCGAAATGTGTGAGCTGGAGGCTAAAAACCTGTGAGCTAGCTCACACTAACTCAGCTTAGAGGGAACACTGCTCCTTACTCTCCCACAAAAGTCAGATTTGGTCCCGAGGGTGTGGTTTCCAGAGACTTCCTTCCTTCCTTCCTTCCTTCCTTCCTTCCTTCCTTCCTTCCTTCGCATCCGTGCCAGAGCCAAGTTCACCTCGAAGGCTGCAGAAGTCTCTGCTAGCCAGCAGGCAACCCCCCCCCCCTTTCCAGGCATGCAAGCCAGCCAGCCAGCCAGCCTCCCCGGCCCTGGAAACAGCTTCCCTTGGCAAGCCGTCCCAGTGACACTGGCTTCAACCAGAAATGAGAGGAGGGGGGAAAGAGCCAGCCCAGCCCCTGGAGAAGCCCCTGCTGCGCTGTGGAGCCTCAAGGGCGGGGAGGAGGGGCTGGCTTGAGCATCAAGGAGGGGAGAAGAAGGCCGGCTCAGACCAGCCTGGCTCTGGGGCAAGGAAGCCGCCGTCTTGGAGTGGTTCTTGGGGACGGAGGGGAAGAGGGACAGGCTCTCAACCCCCTGCACAAAGGTAAAGGTCCTAAGCAACGCTCCCTCTAAGCCGTGGAGTCTTGCGAGCAAAACTTCTACTTTGTGAGCTACCGGCATTAAAGTTGCGAGCAAGCAATTTGGCTGCTGCATAAATTACTTTGCTCTGGAGCCCCATCCTTCCTGAGCCGAGACAAAAATGTGTGAGCCGGAGGCTAAAACACTGAGCTAGCTCACACTAACTCAGCTTAGAGGGAACACTGGTCCTAAGCAATGCTCCCTCTAAGCTGTGGAGTCTTGTGAGCAAAAATTCTACTTGGTGAGCTACCGGCATTAAAGTTGTGAGCAAGCAGTTTTGCTTCTGCATAAATCAGTTCACTCTGGAGCCATCCTTCCCGAGCTGAGACCAAAGTGTGTGAGCTGGAGGCTAAAAAACCGTGAGCTAGCTCACACGAACTCAGCTCAGAGGGAACATTGGCTCCCAAGTCCTGTTTGCCAGCCACACCCTCTGATCCGCCAAGTCCCAGGGCCCTGGGCTGTGGTCTCCCCTTGGCCACGGAGGCGCTCTGCACCAGCTCAGAAGCCTTAGGAGCACACGGCAAGCTTCAGGGCTCTTCTCAGCCCCGCCTCTCCCCAGGCCGGGGAAGCTTTTTGGATCGCCCTCAAAATGCAAAACAGTTCGCCTGGGCTGCGCTTCGCTCCCGCGAGTCCTCCCGGGGCTTCTCGGGGGAGCAAAACCAGAGCCAGGAGCTCCCTCCGGCGAGACCAAGGAGATCCAGGCGGGCGAGTCATTCACACCAGAAACCCCAGTTGCTAACCCATGCTGGGGTGCCTCCACAGCGCCTCGTCCAAGGATGTGGGGCGGGGAGCCGCCCAGGAGGCGAGCAAGAAGCTCCTTGGGGTATCCTCCAACGGGAGGACCAAGCAGTGGCTGGGGGTCGTGGAAATGCCCCCCCCCCCCAAGACTGTGAGATCTCCCTTCCAGCTCCTGTCTGAGGCATTCGGAGGTGGTCTGCCTGCCATCTCCTGCCTTTTCTTCCCAGAGAGCCCGTGGTTCCATCTTAATACTGGCCAGGGGCGACCCTGCTCAGCTTCCCAGATCTGACCAGGTCGGGCTCGCCTGGGCTATCCAGGTTACACCCGGGAAACCTTGTTGGTCTCTAAGGCGACACTGGATTGGGGTCTGCTTGATGGGCAGTATTTTTGCCAACCAGAAGAGCAAGTCTCAGGCACCGAGCAGCGGGATGCCCTCTGCAGAGGAAACAGCCCGATCGCGCACTGCGAAGGGCGCTTTCCATTAGGTTTGATTCCGCTTCCGTCCCGTTTAGCGGGCCGGCTCCCGTGATTTCACGCGACCGCCTTTCCAGACACAGTTGCTCGCGTCCTTCTAGCGACTCCCCCCGGTTTCCCTAAACCGTTGACGCAGAAACCGAGGACTCTTTTTGTCTGTTCTTCCTGCCCCACGTGCAGCACACGAACGTCCTTCCTGCGCTTGGAGAAGTCTACCCGACTCTCCTCCGTTGCGCGCGGGGGCGCCTGCTGGAGACAGCGCCAAGCCCCGCCGCCGGTTTTCCTGCCTGCTTTCCGGGTCGACATTTGGCCGAAAGGTGAGAAGCCGGCAGCCCCCGGGGGTGGGAGGAGAGCCCGCGATTGCCCCCCCCCCAATCCCGGGAAGACGCGTATCCCCGAGGGCGCCCAGGGCGCACGGGCTCCTTGGAGAGGGCTCCTTGGAGAGGGCTCCTTGGAGAGGGCTGGTGCGCCCGGGCGCGCCGGGGGAACTTCCTTACCAGGATGGAGAAGACCAGGGCGAGGATGTTGACGGGCCAGACCGGGCAGAAGCAGGAGAGGATGGCCAGCAGCAGGTAATCGTCGGGCCGCTCGGGCTCCTGGAGGTTGGAGGTGGTGGCGGTGGAGGAGGCGCGGCCCAGGCTGAAGCGGGAGGGCGAGAGCGGCGGCCGCGCCCCCGGCCCCTCCAGCCGCCCCTCCGAGCCGGCCTTGAAGGGCAAGCTGTGGCCGTTGCGCTCGGCCTCGTCCACCAGCGCCGTGTCGCTGGCCGAGAAGGACTTGCAGACTTTGCCGCCGGCCGTCAGCAGCTTCTCGGTCTCGTGCGCCTCGGCCGGCAGGGGCGAGCCCTCCAGCGCCTTGGCCAGCGGCGCCTCCGTGTTGATGGCCATGCTTGCCGGGGCCCCTGCGGCGCCTAGACGCCCATGCTCCGTCCGCCGCCCCCTGCCTGCCTTCTTGGTGCTCCGCTCCCCGCTGGCTCTGCAGCGCTCGCCTCCCTCGCTCGCCCGCCCGTCGAGGGGCCGCCCAGGCTGGCGCTGAGCTCACCGGGGAGGAGGAGTCAGGCCCTTCCCCTTGCGCGCTCCAGGCAGCTCCAGCCCGCTGGCCAGCGCAGGGCACCGGAGGGGTGTGGGTGGCCCCAGGAGGGAGGGGGCGCGGTGCCAGGGACCAGTGTTCCCTCTAAGCTGAGTCAGTGTGAGCCAGCTCACAGTTCTTTAGCCTCTGGCTCACACATTTTCGTCTCCGCTCAGGAAGGGATGGCTCCAGAGCAAAGTAATTGATGCAGTAGCCAAATGGCTCGCTCACAGCTTTCATGCCAGTAGCTCACAAAGTAGAATTTTTGCTCACAAGACTCCACAGCTTAGAGAGAACATTGCCAGGGACCCTTGCCAGGCTCAAGCCCGAAGCCGGACGCGCCTCTGGGCACCAAGGGGGAGGGGCTCTGGAGGGGGACGTCTTCAGATCGCGGGGACTCCTCCAGCCGGCAGCTGCAGCAAAAAAGTGTCCAGCCCGGGGGCAGTCCCGTTCGGGAGCATTTCCCCCTTTGACCTGCACAGAGCAATTGTTTTACCCAGAAGCAAAGCCGGAGCTGCCCAGTGGGATTTAGAGCATAAGAACACAAGAGAAGCCATGTTGGATCAGGCCAGTGGCCCATCCAGTCCAACACTCTGTGTCACACACTAGCCAAAACTCAGGGGTCACCAGGAGGTCCACCAGTAGGGCCAGAATTCCAGAAGCCCTCCTACTGTTGCCCCCGAAGCACCAAGAATACAGAGCGTCACTGCCCCAGACAGAGTCTTCCATCTATAGGTAAAGGTTTCCCTTGCTCGAAAGTCAGTCGAATCCGACTCTAGGGATGTGGTGCTCATCTCCGGTTCCAAGCCGAAGAGCCAGCGCTGTCCGAAGACGTTTCCGTAGTCATGTGGCTGGCATGACTAAACGCCGAGGTGCACAGAACGCTGTTACCTTCCCACCAAAGTGGTACCTATTTATCTACTTGCAATTTCTTGCTTTCAAACTGCTAGGTTGGCAGGACCTGGAGCCAGAGATCAGAGCTCCATCATGTGGCACTCGGGTCTGGAACTGCTGACCTACCGACCTTCCAGCCTGCAGTTCAGCGTCTTAACCACTTGAGCCACCGCAGCATCTATACTTTGTGGCTAATAGCCCTTGATGGACCTCTGCCTTTACATTTATTCGATCCCCTCTCAAAGCTCTCTATGCTTGTAACCACCACCACTTCCTGCAGCAGTGAATTCCAGGTGTTAATTATTGTTTGAGTGAATAAGTCCTTCCTTTTATCTGTTCAAAGCCTCCTGCTCATTAATTTAATTGAATGCCCAGGAGTTCTTGTGTTGTGAGGAGGGGAAAAAATACTTCTTTCTCTACATAATTTTGCAAACCTCTATCATGTCCCCACCTCAATCCTCATTTCTCACCTCCTTAACCTTTCTTCATAGAGAAGGTGTTATATCCCCTTAATTCTTTCAGTTGCCTTTTTCAGATGGCAACCCGTGTTCCCTCTAAGCCGCGTTAGTATGAGCTAGCTCACGTTTTTTTAGCCTCTGGCTCACACATTTATGTCTTATCCCAGGAAGGATGGCTCCAGAGCAAACTAATTCATGCAGTAGCCAAATCGCTCACTCACAACTTTAATGCCAGGAGCTCACAAACACAAAGTAGAATTTTTGCTCACAAAACACCACAGCTTAGAGGGAGCATTGATGGCAACCTGCAGTCTCATTCAGAAAGAAACTCCGGTGTGTTCAGCTACTCCCGTGTAAATGTGAAGAGTACTTTGGAAGTGACTAAGCACCACTTGTGAACAGGGCGGAAGCCCTGGTGAGGCCAGAACAGACCGCCGCCCGGGAGTCTGCGCTGGGCACGGCGGGTCGATCTCAGCTGCTCTGCAGCGCCACCACCATGGATGGCGGGGAGGAGGTACTACAATTTCAAACCCAGCCCCACAGGAACCAGGCCATACAGAAAGCTAAGTGGGGACCGCCTGGCCCTGTCCAGCCCCTGAGCCTGGCTGAAGCTCCTCTGTCTTCCTCCTGGACTAGGCCTGCAGGGGGAGGAGTGGCCCTGTGCTGGGGGGGGGGGTTGTAGCATGGACTGCCACTAGACTGCAGGGGAGTGATTAATGCCCGTTAACGGGAAACCAGCTCAGTGTGTGAAGGGCGAGCCTCCAACCTTCTTTCTGGCAGGCCAGCTCATTTTTTGATTTGCAGGAGGTTTTCCAGCCTTGAAAATGTGGCTGTCCCCACCTACAGTCCGAAGTGGTACAGCCTCTTCGGCGTCCTTATTCTGCTACATCTCTCTCTCTCTCTCTCTCTCTCTCTCTCTCTCTCTTTCTCTCTTTCTCTCTCTCTCTCTTTCTCCTCTATCTCTCGCTCTCTCTCTCTCTCTCGCTCTCTCTCTCTCTCTCTTTCTATCTTTCTTTCTTTCATCATCAGCTACCTTTATTGGCATCACAACAAAACATAGATCATCAAGGGATAAAGGGTACAACCTACAGTCTGAAGTGGTACAGCCTCTTCGGCTACCTTATTCTGCTACATCTCTCTCTCCCTCTCTCCCTCTCTCCCTCTCTCTTTCATTGATACCCTGCCTTTCTCCCCAGTGGGGACCCAAAGTGGCCTATGTCAGCCTCCTCGCCTCCATTTTATCCTCACAACAACCCTGCGAGGTAGTTTGAGGCTGAGAGAGAGTGTGACTGGCCCCAAGGTCACCCTGCGAGCTTCCATGGCACAAGCGGGGATCCCAGCCTGGGTCATAAGAACATAAGAACATAAGAGACGCCAATGTTGGATCAGGCCAAAGGCCCATCCAGTCCAACACTCTGTGTCACACAGTGGCCAGAAATACCAGTGCCATCAGGAGGTCCAGCAGTGGGGCCAGGACATTAGAAGCCCTCCCACTGTTGACCCCCCCCCAAGCACCAAGAAGACAGAGCATCACTTGCCCCAGAGCCCCTAGCTATACCTCATAGCTAATATCCACTGATGGACCTCTGCTCCATATGCTTATCTAATTCCCTTTTGAAGCCGTCCATGCTTGTAGCTCCCACCACTTCCTGTGGCAGTGAATTCCATGTGTTAATCACTCTTTGGGTGAAGAAGTACTTCCTTTTATCCGTTCTAACCCGACCGCTCTGCAGTTTCATGGAGTGCCCACGAGTTCTTGTATTGTGAGAAAGGGAGAAAAGTACCTCTTTCTCTACCTGCTCTTTCCCATGCATAATCTTATAAACCTCGATCATGTCACCCCTCAGTCGTCTTTTCTCCAAGCTAAAGAGCCCTAAGCGCTTTAACCTTTCCTCATAGGGAAAGTGTTCCAACCCTTTTATCATTCGAGTTGCCCTTTTCTGCACTTTTTCCAAAGCTATAATATCCTTTTTAAGGTGTGGTGCCCAGAACTGCACACAGTATTCCAAATGAGGTCTCACCATTGATTTATATAGGGGCATTATTATATTGGCTGATCTGTTTTCAATACCCTTCCTAATAATCCCCAGCATAGCATTGGCCTTCTTTATTGCAGTCACACACTGTCTCGACATTTTCAGTGAGTTATCCACTACAACTCCAAGATCTCTCTCTTGCTCAGTCTCTGCCAGTTCAGACCCCATCAATGTGTATTTATATTTAGGATTTTTGGCTCCAATGTGCATCACCTTGCACTTGGCCACATTGAACCCCATTTGCCATGTTGACGCCCACTCGCCCATCCTTGACAGATCCCCTTGGAGTGCCTCACAATCCTCACTGGTTTTCACCACCCTGAACAACTTTGTATCATCCGCAAATTTAGCCACTTCACTGCTTACTCCCATCTCCAAATCATTAATGAACAAGTTAAAAAGCAGTGGACCAAGTACTGATCCCTGCGGTACCCCACTGCTTACCACCCTCCACTGAGAAAATTGCCCACCTACACTCACTCTCTGTTTTCTATGAACTAGCCAGTTTTTGATCCATAAAAGGACTTGTCCTTCTATCCCATGATTTTTGAGCTTACTTAGGAGCCTTTGATGAGGAACTTTATCAAAAGCTTTCTGGAAGTCAAGGTAAATAATATCTATTGGATCCCCCTTGTCCACATGTTTGTTCACCCCCTCAAAGAACACTAACAGGTTAGTGAGACAAGATCTTCCCTTACAGAAACCGTGCTGAGTCTGCCTCAATAGGTTTTGTTCATCTATGTGCCTACTAATTCTTTCCTTAATAATGGTTTCCACCAATTTACCCGGTATCGACGTCAGACTGACTGGCCTGTAATTTCCCGGATCTCCTCTGGAACCCTTTTTAAAGATGGGAGTGACATTAGCTACCTTCCAATCCTCAGGAATGGAGGCAGATTTTAAGGAAAGATTACATATCTTTGTCAGGAGATCTACAAGTTCACATTTGAGTTCTTTCAGAACTCTCGGATGTATGCCATCTGGGCCTGGTGATTTTTCAGTTTTTAAGTTGTCTATCAGTTTTAGGACCTCCTCTCTCGTCACCTCAATCTGACTCAGGTCTTCCAACACCCCTCCTGAAATCAGTGGTTCTGGAGTGGGCAAGCACTTCTCATCTTCCACAGTGAAGACGGAGGCAAAAAATGCATTTAGCTTCTCAGCCATTTCCCTATCATCCTTCAATACTCCTTTTACCCCTTGGTCGTCCAAGGGCCCTACTGCCTCCCTGGCTGGTTTCCTGTTTCTAATGTATTTGAAGAAAGTTTTATTGTTGGTTTTTACGTTTTTTGCTATATGCTCCTCATATTCCCTTTTTGCCTGCCTGACCTCAGACTTGCATTTTATTTGCCATAGCCTGTGTTCCGTTTTATCAGCCTCACTGTGACTAGCTTTCCACTGCTTAAAGGAATTCTTTTTACTTTTTTTTTTTTC